ATCACGCAAACCAAATCAGTAACAACACCATTGAGGAGAAATTCCTGGAGTGTGTATGAGATGGTTTTCTGGATTGATACAGTGAGGAACCAAACGGAGGACAGGCCATCCTAGATTGCATATTCTGTAATGGCCGGGTGTGGGGGTGGTGTGGGTTAGCTCAGTTGGGTGGATGGCTGATTTGTGATGCAGACTGATGCCAACAGCATTCCCTCAATTCCTGTACAAGCTGAGGTCACCATGAAGGTCCCACATTCTTAATCCTGCCCCTTGCCAGAGGCATGATGACCCTCACGTTAAAGCATCATTAGTCATCTCTCTCTTTGAAGTGAGAGAGCAGTCCTGTGATCCTCTGGGACTATGGCAAATTCAATTTCAACATTTAAATTGAGTAATGAGAAAGGAATAATTTGTAATCTATCTGCGAGAGGCCCCTTGTGGAAGAATGAAGAACTCAGTGACAGAACTCTTCATTCAGATGGAGAGTGACAGTTTTGATTCTGAGAATGAGGGCCAAAATCTAAATAGAGAGGAAATTACAATGGTATGCGGAGCATGTAGGCTGTAATAACTCAGGGAACGTAAACTTAAAGGAATGACAAACATGAACAGAGCACTTGGAAAACCTGCAACTGTTGTTCATTCCTATCTGGCACAAAATAAACCAGGAAAGGTGACCCTGCCACATAAGACGGGAAAAACAGAGTACGAGAGTAAGCTTGTGGGGAACATATAAACTAATTGGAAAAGCTCCTAAAGATAAAAGGAACAGCAAAAAGATCAATGAAAACAAATTGCTTACAACCAGAAACAGGGGAGAAATTATAATGTGAAAAAAAGAGATAGCAGAACAATTAACCACATATTTTGGTTCTGTCATCAGAACAAATGACACAAATAATATCCCGAAAATGCTGGGGAATTGAGAGGGAGAAACTGAAGGAAGTCAGTATTAGTAGGGAAATGGTGTTGAGGGAACTGATGGGATTAAAAGCCAACAAATCCCAGCACCTGGTAATCTACAGTCCAGATTACTTAAAGTGGCCCACGAGATAGTGGATACACTCTGCAACTCGGGGCCTGAATCTGAATAGAGGAAATTGATCATCATTTTTTTAAGATTCCAAGGACTCTGGAACAATTCCTATGGATTGGAGGGTAGCTAATGTAAGTCCACTCTTTGAAAAAAGGAGGTGGAGAGAAAACATCGAATTACAGACTGGTTAGCCGAAAACTGGAAAACAGTGACAAGATTGGACAGAGTCAATCAGCTTGGATTTATGAAAGGGAAATACAGATGGACAAATCTGCTGGAATGTTTCAAGAATGCAAAGTTTAGAGTTGATAGGGAGGCAGTGAATGTCGTTTACTTGGGCTTTGAGAAAGCATTGAAAATATCCGACAGAAGAGATGAGCATGAAAAATTGAAGCATATGGGATTGGGGGTAGTGTATTGACAGAGAGGAAACAAAGTGCAAGGACAAACAGGTCATTTTTTCAGTGGCAGCCAGTGACCAATGTGGTACCGCAGGCATCAGTGCTTGGACCCCAGTTATACCCAATATCTGTTAATGATTTAGATGAGGAAATTTAAACGTCATATCTCCAAGCTTGTAGATGACAGGAAGCTGGGTGGGACAGTGAACTGTGAGGAGGATGCGCATATGCTACAGTGTGACTTGTAGTTGAGTGCGTGGGCAAGAATACAAAGTGGATTAAGGATGTTGTCGATAAATGGGAGGCTGTGCAGTCTGATCACAACAACAGAAAGACAGATTATTATCTGAATGGAAATAGGTTAGGAAAGGGAGAAGTTGCACTGAGACCTGTTTGTCCTTGTACCCAAGTTGCTGAAAGTAAGCGTGCAGGTGCAGCAGGAGGTGAAGAAGCCAAATGTTATGTTGGCCTTCATTGTGAGAAAATTTGAGTACAGGAGCAGGGATGTCTTGCAGAAATTGTACAGGGTCTTGGTGAGACCACACCTAGAGTATTGTGGGAAGTTTTAGAATACTTATCTGATGAAGGATGTTCTGGCTATGGAGGCTGAACAACAAAGGTTTACCAGACTGATTCCTGGGATGGCGGGACTGACGTATAAGGGCAGAATGTATTGGTGAGAATGAAATTCACTGGAGTTTAGAATAATGAAGGAAGGTCTCACAGAAACCAATAAAAGTCTAACAGGACTAACAAGGTAAATGCAGGAAAAGTGTTCTCAATGACTGAGCAGTCCAGAACCAGAGGTTAACAGATTAAGGATATGGGCGAAGCCATTTAACACTGGGATGTAGAAAAAGTTCTTTGCTGCCACAGAAAGCAGTTAAGGCCAAAATATTGAATGTTTCCCAAGGAAAAGATGGATATCGTTCTGAGGGTTAAAGGGATCACAGAGCATGGGTCCAAAGTAGGAACAGGTCACTGAGTAGAACGATCAGCCATGATCATACTGAATAGCACAGTCGGATCAAACATCACATTGGCCTACTCCTGATCCTCCCCCCTGTGTTTCTATTCTGTTAAACATGGGATATAAAAACAAAACGACTGTAACTCCCACAGATATCAGCATGACCTTGTCACCACTGGATGAAAATCCTGTAACTCCTTACGGAACAGCAATCTGGGAGCAACTTCATCGCACAGACTGCAGCAGTTCAAGAAGGTCAAGGAGGTGCAGTGATTTTGGAAGGTTCAGGACTGACTGCTCTGTCTCTCATTTTCTATCCAGTTCTAAAATTGTTGAATGTTCAGAGAAAAGCAACATAGGAAATACTGATGGAAGTTTGCTGAAACTGTCTACATTCAATGTTGAGTTAGAAATTAATAAGGTTCTACATGCCCGTGAACAACTCATTATCCAAGGATTGCACAAAGGCTTGGCATCCA